ATATATATTGTGTATGTATATGTGTATGTGTGTTTGTGTGTATGTATGTATATATGTATGTATGTGTATGAATAAGTATAGATATATATGTATATGTATGTATGTTTGGTTGTGTGTGTGTATATATATATATATATATATCTATAAAGCTACGATATATATATTGTATATATATATGTATATATATAAAGCTACGATATATATATTGTATATATATATGTATATATATAAAGCTACGATATATATATTGTATATATATATGTATATATATAAAGCTACGATATATATATTGTATATATATATGTGTGTGTGTGTGTGTGTGTGTGTGTGTAGCCTTCTAAATTAACAATATAAATATACATATTTACCAAAGAAAGTGTATATATAATTGAAGTCTACATATGAAAAAAGTTGTTGTCGCTGCCGGTTCAATATGCCGGGTTTTGGCGCTTTTTTTATTTATTTTTTGCGGGTTTGAATGACCGGTCAGGCGGTCACTTACTCACCCCTGTCACCGGCGGCAACGCCGCCCACCGGCCCCGTGTGCAGGGAGGCTGCTGCAACCGAAATTTGGCGCGCAGCTGTAATCGGCCGAATGACTCTCGAATTACTGTACTAAATATAATTAATTTTTAAATTCTTCACACGAAAGCTCTCGTGTTTTTTTTTATGCTACATATATCTGTTATGTCTTGTGTAGCTATATATTTAATCCGAACGAGGTAAAAGCAGCCCACATATCTCATCTGCACATGCATAAACAAGCGCTTCGTATATATGTATGTAAACCTTGTATGTACCTCAAAGAACACTCTTTCTGGTCTTTGGTGTATACACGGCTGTCTACCACCGAGGTATGAGTAACGATGCACACATTGTATGCTGCGCCCAAGTTGCGTGCTGACAATGGTTTGGATGCAAACACTACACTTTATTGGTCTCACACCCCTTATACTACAAAAAATTATGAGTTGTTCAGTTGCATCTTCCAATGTATTGGTTTTGATTTCAAGTTGGGTTGGGTTGGGTAGTGTTATACTGCCATTGTCTGTTTACCTAACGGCATGCGTGAGTGTGTGAGAGCAAATTTCAAAACAACAATTCTAGTTTATTTTGTGGTCAGTATGAACCTAGTAGGGACTATATACAATACAAATCTTGTTAGCAAAATACTAAAACAATAGATATTGATTGGCAACGTTTAGTTAGTTTTCGTGTTGATCATCAAATCGGTACTGACGGCAATACGAGCAATTATTTTACTCACATTTGGTAAATATCAATTATCTCAATGTTGCTATCTGGTCCCATTTGGTAAACATACGCTGGTTTAGTACAAATTTTGGACCAGTGCTGCAGATAAGTAGGAAGATAGACATGGCAGACCGTACCAATCGGATGGCTAAAAGCGTGCCAAAGCGGAAGGTATGCGGATTCCTTTTCGTACACACATATTTACGTTCAATTTCATAGAATACACCTCAATATATTTTTGTACATTCGAGACAGTTGGGTGCAATGTATAGTGCGTATCTGTTTCTACAGAGTTTAAGGATTATAAATACGGCGCTTTATGAAATAGATGTACAACAAATGTGTACATAAACATGCCAGACCTTTTGATTTGGAATAACAACACTGGTAGTGGGTTGTGGCTGATCAATACCTCTGGCATCTGAAGTGCCACATGTTTAACTTTTAGATGGTCGTGTTAGAACACGTATTAGGGTTTTTTTCGCGGTGTACGATCGTTGTTAATGAAACATCTTCTTCTCAGCCTCTTGGAATTGATTTCGGCAAGGTCCGCTCCAAATTGACGAATCGTCTATCAACAATATCAAGATCCAGGCGTCACTCGGCCGTGCCTCCAGTTCAGGTTAGCGAGGTCGGCCCACTGTGAGCAATATTTTAGTTAATGTAGCTAGGTACCTTCCAGGCCAGCTAGGCACTACAGTTTATGTTTTCTGAGGTGTAATTTTCCCGAGCACGATTGAAATGGAATTGGCTGGGAATGTACAAGGGACAAAAGGTGTGTACAAGGTGCTGCACACAGCATAATTTTTACGTCAGTACTATTTTAAGTTGATGATGATATATGCTTAGCTCTTATCTTGTCTACTTACTATACGTCTGGTAACCGACAGCGTCACGAGATACCAGTGCTTCCTACAGCAGGTATGTAATATATTGTTTTGATTAGTGCTCCCGTGCGGCAAATTCATTAATAAATCTGAGGCGGCGCTTCAATAGCCTGCTGTGTTTATGTCAATGTAGCTACTTTTGTGATAGTATTTTCCTTCTGTGAGATTTGACCTGAGTAGCATTCTGTCACATCCATGCAGTTGAAAGCACTCATGTGCAGAGTCCGTACTACCAGCGTATGGTCAAAGACGATACACCAGGTAAGGGTATTAATTAACCTCGTGATAAAGTACAGTCCTGTGGTATATCAAATACCCATCGTTTAAACACGATTAAAAATAGAAAGCAAAGTATGTTTTTTTACTTTTCGCCTATGTCCAATATACCACTGGTGAGCTCAATCATGAGGCTGGTATTATCACATTGCTAAAGTGTATGCTATTAAACTTGTGCATTCAAATTAAATATATTGTAAGCCCTTAATTTCGCAGATGCAGACGAAGAGAATCACTTTGCGGGTTCTCGAAAACGACGATCTCGCAGTCCCGCATGTAACGGTAAGCAGCAGTATTATCAGCCATGCGTATACAGCCGAATTCTATAGATCACTCTGAAACAGATTATCAGCACCAAATCAAATTAGATCTTCCGATTGCAAGCTTCTAACCTACGAGGTCATTCATGTGAGTGTGACGATATCCAGGGGCTACTCTCCTAGCAGATTCTCTTGGCTTGCCACTCCAGACTGTAAGTTTCTGTCTCTACCTTCAATAGAGTATTTTCTATACTTTTCTGTCTTGCAAAACATCAAAATTATGTATGATTACTAACGATCAAATTCGCTATGAAAATGTTTGTTCGCATCAGAGTGAAGGAATTGATGAGGAAATACAGAGACATCTGCAAAATCCTCAGCAAGGTATTAAAGTCCATATTTCAATATTAACAGTGAAAATCACTGGATGAGAAACATATTGATTTGACGGATCAGTCCATCCTTCTTGGTACTTCGTTTTAAGTTGCAATCTAGAAATCAAGAAACTCCCTGGCCTAAACTATAATACTCCCCGGCCTAAACTATAATATCAACACCGGCGTCTCATATCTACACAGAATAAATTTTTACCACTTTGGAAGCGTGTGCTTTGTATAAAGCCTCATAAAATAATGGATGACTCTATTTAGAGCATAATTAAATCCAGCATTCGCACATGATAAATTAGTGACTGACTTGCACTACCTCATTGAATTCATGGCACCACAGAATCGCAGAAGTTTTACGGATCTATTGCTCAGACTTTCGACGACTTCAATGTTCAGTTGAATGACACAACTGAAGCGAATGAGAGCGCTAAAGGTGTACTGCAATTGCATCCAAAATTCTTTTGAATCACAACGTCCATTGCAGTGTTTGCCAAGTTGGATGAAAGAGACTTTCTATGTTTCAGCTCAGATCGCCTTCGTGCCGTGCATTAGACATAATGTTGAATACCTGAGCTACATTGTACTGTGCCATATTTCTCGACGGGTAAAGCTTAAGGTGTAATTTGACGATGGCGAAAGCTCATCGTGTCGCTTGATACTTGACAGTCAATATCCTATTGCAGCACGCTGAACTCCTGCTTGCAAGCGATCCTCGGCACAAACAAAGCATCCAAAATTCACAACAAGCGTGCACAGGGATCAAGGGAGAGTACGTATGATTTGAAACGGACAGCATTCGCTTGCGTGCAACGTGCGATGCTTTCTCTCATTCTATGTTTGAGATACTCTTTGGTGTATCGACTGTTAGTTAAGTGAGAGCACAGGAGCAAGGCATATACATACAGGGTGTTTACTGTCTCAACAACACTTTGAGTTAGCAAACGACGACTCATGATTACTGATATTTTTGCTACGTGTTCACTTCTGTGATTGACGCGGTGGCCGTCAAGTGCAGAATACAACGAGCTATGGCGGCGGACAATGAAATATACAACACCGGAGAGGGCTGTAGCATCCAAAATGTCTAAAACACCGCGCAATCATTGCGCCGACCGAAGAAATTGCAGGAAGCCGTGTGAAAATAATTACAAACATCGTTGATGACACGTGAAGAAAAGCCAATTAGAACTATGAGGGATCTGTGCAACAAGAAAGAGATAAAACAGATACCCCCAAATAAAATTTAATGTGCTTAGCATTTCTTATGTAAACCCACTCGAACCGTCGTCGAATATGTTCTTTTTTGGAATTATTAGCCACTTGCTTTTAGAAAATATTATATACAGGCTGGAGATGTATATAGCAGACTTCCATGGACGTCAGGCACAGTTCAGAAGTCTGACTTAACTGACTTAAATCACCGCAAGGTCAAGTGAAAGTGGCGAATGCCTGGAATGATCTATCCACATCTTGGAAAGTATATATGTTTGTATATGGTATGGACCATATGCTCTGCAGCCATCAATCATGGGTGTGTGTATTCCTTGCGCTGATATTATCATATGGATATGGTCTGTTGATGCTCATAGAAGTGACAGTCTGGCAAAATTGACAAAGTGTTGCTGTGTGTTATGTGTTTCAACTCTTTGCAGACATATTGCCGCCCACCAGAATACCATGCCCCGTGTACAACACGCATCGCAAGGGTAGCCGAGTCAATAACACTACTCAGTGAATGTAGATGCTATTATGACATCCACACAGCGGACGTCAACAGTACCGCCAGTGTCCTCCGGTATAGCCAGAAAAATAGTCGCCAGTGAATTAGCCTTCCTTATCGTATAACGGCACGCAGAGCGAAGTGAACGAATAATTCGAGCTATACACCATGCCATGCCATCACACAACGTCGATTGAGCATAAGCGATAAGTTTACGCTCAGCGGCTTCCCATAAGACCATAGCTAGAGCATTGTTAGATTCTTTTCATCATTCAAGATGAATGTTCCGGAGAGCAAACTCGGTTCCAAACGATAGTTTTCAAATGATAGTTTACCTAGAACCTTGTGGAAAGGTCATTCAATAAACGCGTAGCATATTATCGAACAATCACATAACCTGCTGCTGAAGATTATTACGCTGCATCGCTCTTAGACGTTGCTCTAGTTTTTCAATGCGACAGCGTGAGTTGACTGACTCATTGACAGTCACAGGGGACGCCCGTTTAGACATCCAGATGCTCCTGAAGGCGGCGGCAGGGGTGCTGGCAACTCTTCGTAAAACTCGTCCGCTCATCGTTGTATAAATAATACCTAAATATATAAATAAATATATAAATAAATATATATATATATGTATATATATGTAGTTGTGTTGAAAGTACTGTAGATATATATGTAAGGCTCATCAGCTGTCGCGCGAATATATAGGCTTCTTGATTATATTCTTGCCCTCGGTGAGGCTTGAGCGGTTGAGCCTCCCATTCCCACACAATATTTGCTGCTGTGCCAACAACTGAAAGGTGAGTTAAAAATTAAAAATTAAAAAATTAAAATTTATATATATATCAACTCTAAATTACTAAAGCCACACAAGACTGGCGTCTGGCTGGCAGCGGCGGGAGCCGGCCGGCTGCCGCAAAATGCCAGTTGTCTCATTTCGGATCTCGGTGGCATCATAAGTTGAATTCTAATTGGACCACATGAACACAGATACTCTCTTTGACGTCAAAATTAATGAAATGCACAATAACCAATGCCGGTTCCAGCCGACCGTTCAGGCCAGAGACCAGTTTTGGCGGCTGTTCCCTGCCGAATTAGGTAATAGCTAATTTTGGCGCAGAATATGTGCTGTGACTAGTTATGTGTCACTATTTTCATGGCCCTCAGTCTGTTGAATCTGGAATTCTGGATCGTGATTCGTGGAAAAGTAACAGCTTCCTTTTCGAGCGAACTCAATCCACAATCAGTCTATCTCACGTAGCAGTAGAGTAGTCAGTACAGAGGGCCATGCAATTTTTCAATGTGTATTTTACATATAAATATAAATATAGCCTCTCTCGAGTATATGTCTGAACTCTGATAAGAGATATCTGATATGTATATATGCATAACTATATTAATTTCTTGACAACGTCACACCTCACCTATATATATGGAATATGCAGGTCTCAATATATAACATACACGTTACTTTCGTTAGATTTAGCTACGCGAATCTTCGACAAACTGGCAGCCAGGCTTCCGAGGCTAGACGTGGTTGTAGCTCGCTTCCTTACTTTCAGCTGTTTGTCCGTAGATCGCAGTAGCTGGGCGTGTTTGATCAGAACATGACGCGTGGCAATGACCTAATGTATCAACAAAATACGACTATTGTAAAGCCGCAGTTTCGATATAGCTGAACCAAAAAACACGACTCAGCACATACATACATTTATACTACGACCCGTGCTCATTGACTAGTGGCTTTAGTATAGACAACTTAAAAATATACTCGTGCATATGAACCTGTGGCTTTGCTAGCACAGCGTACTCGACAAGGGGTAATATTTGTATATTTCTTGTATTGTAAAAGAATGTCCTTGAAATTCCAGGACATATTCGTTTTGGACGAGTTTATAAATAGCCTACGGCAACAGTCATTTACTGTGTTTGCCCACAATAAACTATCTAAGATTTGCTTAAAAATCTGTATTTATCTGACTGTTTTCATCAAAGGGACTTGCAGCTCACGGTGTAGAACTTAAGGCCCGAATTCACCCTTACTATCTAGAATGCAGTTTGCACCTTGATTTTGCCATCTGTGCGTTGAATCATGCACCACCATTCAGCTCTAGATAATTGATTTCCTGAATCTAAAGTTCGTCCCTCTCTTCTTCTTTTTGCACCACCTTGTCGGTTGCTTGGTCCGCCACCATCTCATCAGCCTCAGCACTGCCTTCAGCCTTCTCCGAATCCGCAGCCACTTCCTCGTCCGTGGGTAAAATGAATTCTTGTCGTACCTCTTCGTAGCCTTCGTCCACATACTCGTCATCGTCCATAGCATCGCCATCGCCATCGCTCACAGTTTCCGTGTCATTAGATGGCTCAGGAGTGGCATCTGGTGTGGGTGTGGGGACGGGGGTGGGCTTGGGTGTGTCCTTGAGTGCTTTGACATCCCGGCTAAGTCGCTTCGCCTGTGGACAGCGTACGCGGAGAAATGGAGATATTTAGATTGCGGAATGGAAACGGTGACCAGCCAAGATGATATGCAGGGTGCTACTATCACTATGTAGTTTTTGAGAAATGTGCTGTCATGTGACACTCTTTCAGAGCTGCTCTTTGTAAATACGCGACGCATAACCCGGTACAATCTAATAAACAGCGAAGCCTGACCCAAATATCAGAACTAGTTTAGCCCCCAAACAATTACACGAATACCTTTCGCAGGATATCAGCGCCAAGCACAACTGGAATCTCGGTCAGAGATGTAGCCTCTTGAGCCGCCACCTTGTCGTCCAACCACTTGCGTGCGTCAGCGATGCCACTTTCAACAAGGGTTTGGGATTCCTTGGTCCAGTATCGCTCGTCCTCGGGTGTGTCCTTTAGAAGCTTGTCCAGGCCTTTACGAATGTCAAATCGAGTAGGAGAATACAAGACAGTCAGCATTCAGCAAATATAAACGTTTCCAGTAATGGGTCTCATCACACACCATAGTCAAGACATTTCTCAAAATAAATTTAGGGTCAATAGATCTCACGTACCTTTCAGTGCGAGATTCAACTCTTTGACAGCCTTAGGGCGCAACAGATACTCGTCTCTACGGAAGAAGAATGGCTTGGTAGTGTCGGTAATGTGATCGATACGCGTAGTGTACTCCTCCGCGCTGGCTTCCTCGCCATCGCCGTAGAGCCAATCGCTCACCTCTGCGACATATTGACGTACACCCTCACGCTACAAAGAATCAAGCATAATTCGAGACCAAGTTAGACGATTACCGCAGTTAATTATATTTTAAGTCGTAGAATTATACGCCAAGCACTCGCCTCTGGTGCAATCCAAAACATTGCAAGACAAAGTAAATGGGAAAAAGAAAAGCACACCGGACCAAATGTACGTAGCTCATCGATTGCGAGATATTCGCACATACCTGCTCCTCCGTTGTAACCTTATCCAGATCCTCCATCTCTAACTTATCCAGAATATCGTACGACATACTCTCGAGCGTGTGCCTCTGCTTCATTGCATAGTGCAATGCAGCCTCAGCCTTGGTCAGGTCAGCAAGACGCTGGCGATACTCTTCAGTACGGTCGGTGGTGAGCGGTGCCAAGTCGTGGTGCGTCTCTGTAATTTTGAGCGCGACCTTTACAGTCTCCACCTTGGGGGCCTTGGGTACTTTCGTCTTGGCAGGCTTCTTCTTGGTGTCTTGGTCTTCGGCCTGCATGTGACAAAAACATTAGCGGATACAAACGATATATATTAGTATAGTATACTCGTAGGTGTGAAACCTTTTCTGACAAGCCACGATTTCACACACATCAAACGTGTATATCAAGCGTACTACACAACCACACACATGTTTGTTGCTGCACTGTCATACCTTCGTGTTGTCTTTCGCATCCTCCATCGCGGCCTCTTCATCCTTCGTTTCATTAGTCGTGTCAGCCCCTTTCTCGGCGGCCTCTGGCTCTGCTGCGGCTTCCGCGCCCTCCTTCTTCTCATCGTCCCCACCCATACCGAAGAAGTTCTTCATCTTGTCAGCAATTCCGGCCTTGCCGTCGTTGGTATCAGCAGCTACAAGAAGTGCAGAGTCAAATATAAATGCTGTTAAAGATTGCTTGAATAAACGAATAGCATTTCGGCACATGGAAAATAATACCATATGTACCCAGACACTCAAAACCGGCGACCAGCATGTGTGAGAATTGTATACGTGCAGTATTGCGCACGGGAGGATACGCTACTCTTGAGTGCCCTCGACCCAACGGAAACTTACCTTGTTCAGAAGTGAGCTCGGGGATGGTGGTGTTGAAATAAGCGTTTGCACTCTCCACCTTGAGAACGTTGCTCTCATCCATGCGGAACTTGATCTTGCTCGATACAAACACGTGCTTGTCATCCTTCAGGTATTCCTCGTAGGCTTCCTTGAGACCACTCTATTGGAACATGTGCGATTATAGGGAGGGATGTGAGCTGTCAGATTGCGAGTGCATTAAGATCACTTTCAGATTGGTGCCCGTGCTAAGCTTAGTTGGGCACAGAGAGCAAGAGGACACGCATGGGTATGTGTGTGTAATCGAATTGTGATGTCTTCTATTGAGAGATGGCTCGCATGCAAGCGACACAGCTAGCCTAGCACCGGTAACATACAGGACAAAAAGTATTATCAGCGTCGTTAACATAGCCATTACAGGCATATATATGAACTGATAAATCTATACAATAACCTTAGTAGAACGTCTGCATAGTCATAACAGGCATACAGAGGAACCATATACAACTGTACTCCAATCCTACTGGGACAGCGCACACACCATGTTGTACGATGAGATGAGCGTACTGCCAACCATATCGAGTCCCTCGGGACTAGGCAGGAAAGATTCCAAGTCACTGTACTGCAATTTGAAAGAGAAATCTTCGGTATGCTTCGTGAAACTGAAGATTTTCGACTCAGGGTATTTGCCGAAGCGCCCGATAACGGATCGCCATACGAGATCATCGTCCTTATCAAGCATCTCGTAGGAGTTCACGCCTGTATAGAAACCGATGCATACGTCGAATGTAAGGTGAAACCTATTACAGATTGGTGATACTCAAAATATAACGTTTGCAGTAAGAGGTGCCGGACAATGCAACATCACCCATTGTGCAAAAGTCAAAACAAAAAACGCCCGAATAACCTCTTTACGTGCGGTAGTGAAATAACTAGTACGTGCCTCCAAAGAACGATATGTAACAACAACTAGACACTGAACGTCCATCATACTCTAGAAGGGTGAATGTTAGGATTGAAGGGCTTCGTGGAGAATGAGACTAGTCAAGCAGCATGTCTAGCGTGTTGCTGCTAGTGAAGTACAGGAATACTAAGCCCATTTGGTCAAAGGCAACAGAATAACAAGGAATAGCAACATACCCTCTTCGGCGTTCTCGTCCTTCTCTGCGCGCGGGTAAGCGACCTTTACGGGATACACATTTGCTTCTTCCACTGTGAACTTGGCCATTCGGAAGGCACTGCTGTGCGTGGCTGCACGAAGCACAGCACCGATGGCACAGGCCTCGTCTGCGTTGATGGAACGAGACAACTCCTTTCCACCGGTCACCTTCAGAAGATTGTCCTGGACTCTGGGCATGCGCTGGGCTCCACCGAACATGATCACCTGCGAAAATCAACGGTATACGTTTAACAGACATACAGGTGTAGATCCAGAAGCACACTAGGGCGACTTGCGAAGGCAACTGCAAACCGATTGATGCTAGCTAGAAGGCTAGGTCAACCGCCGTAGGGCACTTTAGTTTGCTCGCGGTGTTATTGAATACTACTCAGCTCCGATGGCAAATACGGTATCAAAGCGTTCAAATAAGCATACTCCATGCTCAAGTACCACACAAGGCATACCTGATCAATTTCAGCGATACCCATGCCAGACTGTTGCAGTACATTCGCCATGGGGGTCGCTGTGCGCTCGAACAGATCCGTACACAATGTCTCGAACTCGACACGGCTGACAGGGGTTCGTTTGAAATCAACATCAGGCAAGACGCCCTCCACCTGGGCGAACGTGTCCGTATTTGCGGAGAGCACCTCCTTTACGCGTCTGGCCTCCTTCAGAAGCTTGGCTAGCGCACGAGGATAGTCGCGGGCATCGATTTTCCCCTTTTGCTGCTCGTTGAATATCTGCTCGGGGAGCACGATGATGGCTGGGTGAGACGAGACGCATGTGATCTGTGGTCTTGCCAAATCAGTTTGGTTCGGTGTATTCTTTTACTGCGGCGCTGTTTACCAGCATGATACTAATTTACTGTCGTGTGCCAAACTTAGAAACTATTGCAATTCTGCTATGCAAAAAGAGTACATACCTTCACAAGGTGATCTCTCAGCCTGAAATCAAACTCCAAACCACCAAGGGTACGATCGAAACTCGTAGCGAGAATCTTCACGCCGGGAATTTTCTTTGAGTCGTGTGAGTATTTGACGATTGTGGCAGATGTAGTACTGGCGCCCATGTCGTAGAACATAACCGTCAGAGGCTTATCCTCAAACCTATAGTGAGAGAACCGTTGATTTAGGACTACAATACATCAAAAAACCGACCAATTTCTACACGCTTGAATATGGTACATTCACTGGATATGTAAATGTATATACACGATAATATAGTCCACGTACATGCTGCTTCACGCAAAAACAAAGATTCCTCGTCCTATTCGAAAGATTTCTAGAGCTCAATTGCACACATACTTACTTCTTTTTGTTGAAGATTCCCCAACTGGTGGCAACGGCAGTGTTATCGTTAACGAGCGCTAGCACATTAAGTCCGATGATTCTCGCGGACTGCAAGAGAGTCTGCAATGGGGAGAAATAGAATAGCTGATCAATGACAAGCTCACGCATCATTTAATGCGTATCAGGTACCCATAGCACTACTAGTGCAATCGCGTGACAACCGATCGACTTGAAAAATGCGTTAGGAATAAAATGACTCAGTGTGTTTTAAAGGGGGGCATAACAGTCTAACGTGTATAAGGCAGTCAGCTACAAAATAGCTGTAGATCTATTCCAAAAGTAGAAATACCAGCAAACAATAACCTACAAAAGTAATAATACGCTTGATACTATGTGAGATTACATTTCCTTGCCTGCGATTGTTTTTACAACACAGCTTTGTTGACAATGAGTTCGAATACTCTGTATACCGTGCAATTGTGCACTCGGTAAGATTTCCAAAAAGGTGCTCCTACATAGAGATTTATACACCGATATTATTTTTGTATCTATATAATACGGTATATAAATGCGTAGGCAAGAGCATCTGGAAGAGAAAGGCAATTATGGTTGATGTGCATGCCTATGTACCAATACATATCACGTCTCACCCCTAGGTGTGTGAGCTAAATAATAAAAACAGCTTCCTGGAACAACACTTGGAAATAAGATCTCGACACAACTCGGCACGCTGCTACCCCAAAGCACAGTACATACACGTCTCTCGGCTTGAGTGAAAAATGAGGGCACGGTGATGACAGCATCATTCATGGTCTCCTCCGCAGCGGCAGTGGCGATGTTCCTTGCCTGTTCTAATTGCATCGCAATCAGTTCCTCGATGGCGTATTTCTCATCACCCAAGAGAAAGATCACCGTTCCGCGTTCAGAGTCGGCTTCGAGCTTGTACTGAGGGAACTGTACATTAAGGTTCATAAGAAGATAACAGTGTCATTGGGTTGGAAACAATAGCTTGGTATCTATCGCACCGACCTGCAGCCAGTCGAAAGTTGACAGTGATTATAAGTATACAAAGGTGCGTGCCTACTAATCACTTGCAGTGATTGATGATCAGGGCAAAAAAATCACCTCGTGTGCCCCACAGGAAAACAAGCTTTTCGCCAGAGTTTTACACTGTCGCCGAGATTTTGTCAAGTATCAATAGATAGCAGCAAAATGGGTTTTAAGCATAGTTGTCTATGCTGCTTTCGACACGTACTGATGCAGACAGCCACATGACTTTGATTGACATAACTACCCGAGAAGTACACGCAACCGTGCAAGACACCAAGCTCCTCTATGTTCGCATAAGTATATAAATTTGTCTGCACGATATTTCATACCACATAAACTGATTCAATCATGAAACAATTGAAATGCAAAAGCAAGTCGTATGCATAGACTTGCGTCTGTTGCAACTACACACCTAATGCTCGTACAGTGTGAAAAATGAGTAAACTGCGCACTTCAAACCTCTTGAAGGAAAAGCCTCAAAGAGTATCAATAGTCGATCAATGAAGGAATCCATGCGACATGCAAAATAATATATGTATATTCCGATTTTCATCATACCCTCAATACTTCTGAAGTGATGGATTTATGCGCTGGTAACTTCGCAAGTGCAAAAATGCGCCTTGAAATTGCAATTGCAATTTAAGGGGTGCACAACGTCTTATGGAATTATCAGAATAAACAGTAGGTACATGGACGGTATGATGCCCATTTTTTAGTATCTTCAAGAACGCAACAAAATCACTAGTCTACTTTAAAACTTACCGTTAAAACCTCAATATATGCAAAACTGTTGCTGATTTACTGAGAAGTTAGAAAAATATCTTATCAATCGACAATCGCCAAAGACAGTCTTCACAAACAAATGCAAACTATTGGTCGTAATATCACGACACACAAATAAGCACTGATAGACGTGCACAAAGGTGAACAATATTTAACTTGGAGGCTTATTTACATAACTTGCATGTCCATGTGTATCGGTGGAACAGCGATTTTAGACACCCGTATGAATATGTGTATCTATATGTAACCTATATGGTACCATATAAAAATTTATATATAAAATATATATATAAATAT